TTACATATATATTAATCGTAATATAAAATATATTTTATATATAAATATAAAATATATATATATAATAATCGTAATATATATATATTATTTATATATATATATATAATATATAAAGCAGTAATTATTACATGTAACATTTATTAAGCAGTAATTAGACCGATATAATATAACATATAAAGCAGTAATTATTACATGTAATTATTGTATATATAATATATAAAGCAGAAAAAGTGATTATTACATGTAACATTTATTACTTTAGGGGTAAAGCAGTAATTTCAGGCACTTTAGGGTGAAAAAATGAAGAAAAAATCGCACAGCACGCGCGTGCAAACCACTGCCGTCATTTTTGACGGTTTAGGGGGTTTCGCGCATGTAAAAGTATATTACAAGGGGGTATGGCGCAATTTTTAAAATACAGGGGGAAAACGCGCAGATTTCGTATAATACAGGGGGGTTTGGCGCAATTTACCCCAATAAAATAATATTCGACAAAAATAACAATCATATATTATTAAAGACATCTTTGTACACATCATAAAGATTATTGGGCAACTCATCATTCTCATAAATTAATATCTTCAACCCCCTTCTATTAGTTGTACTTTGAAAACATAGTGCTCCAGTGCAACATGATCTTAAAATCACCGGATGTCGAACGATTCTTCCCTATATTGTTGTCTACTTGATAATTTTTTATGCAAGTGACCATGTCCTCCTCAAAATTCATCTCTCTAAATGCAACCACGTTGATTGCCCGTAGCCATGCCGTAATGCGATTTCCCTAAACATATACGAAAAAACAATCAATGAAAAAAATTATGTTTTAAAAATATAAAAAATGTATATTATATGTACACTAAAATATATGTTTGATATTTCTAAAAAAAAAAGAAGAAGTAAAAATAATTTTGCTTACAGTTTTATTATGCAAAACCAACTCAAGATATGATTTGTATGTGCTGCCCTAGTCTTCGAGAAGCATTCTTACAATTCAAACTTTAAGCATAGGTCTATTAGACCTATTAACTTATTTGATTAAGCCAAATTCTTGATTCATTGTTATGAACGACACACTGATTGGGGATAATCTTTTGCGCAGGAGGTTGAAAAAGGAACACGATGATTCAATATTTGGATATTTATAATTTATATTTGCATTATTGAATTATATGTAGAGATAATATGTAGAGAGAATGTCAACAGGGACGGATCTAGAAATTAAGAGTAGACTGGGCTAGAATTTTAAATACACATTTTTATCAATTATTTTCACAATACCAATATAAGCCAAATATGCTCATTTATTCAAGTTACATATAAGTTGAAATATAAATATCTGAACTAATCATTTCTACATTATATACCTATGATCAACCATTCAAAAATAACAATATATAAATTATCTATCAAAACCAAAAGTATAAAATCTATAAAAGACGATCCCCTATAAAGCATACCAAACAAGATTAGAAGAAATGAAAAATCCTTCAAATTTCTCTTTTCCTGTCCAAAAAATTCGTCAATCACTAAATCATATCTTACACACTAATTCATACACCATTTTTTTTTTCTCCCTTTGCAAACAAGTGTCACATGAACTTAATAAGATAATTAATCCAACAAAATAAACAAAATAAAAAAAAAACTAATCAAACAAATTAAATTAGAAAAAAAAAGACAAAAAAACATGTACAATCAAAAAATATAGCAATTAGCAATAACTATAAGAAGTGTAAAAAATAGAAATCATAATCAAATTCACGAATCACACATGGTGCAAAATGACAATACATAATATAGTCATGAGTAATCTAGCCTATCTAGGGTTTGTGATTTTTTTTTTGGGTACCTTCTAAATCGGGGGCCGAGCGGACGGCGACCTCCGTCGATGAGAATTAGGCTGCCGGTGAACGCAATCCGTATATGTCAGAGACTCCAAGATAGAAATAGCAGAAGCCGAGCCGAGGAAGAGGTGCTCTGTTTTTTCCTTTTTATCTTGGGTAAAGTAAATTTGTTTGAGTGAATTAGTATACAAATTAACAATTACATGTAAACTTGAGTTGGGAAATTGGGCCTGCTGGCTGCTTGTTTATTTTATTTGGTTGGGCTGGGCTAAGGGCTTGGGCTAAGGACTGGGCTAAGGGTAAAATAAAAAAAAAATTGAAGCTAGTAGGTGAAAAAAAAAAAAAAAAAACGGGCCTGGGCTTCAGCCCAGCCCAGGCCAATGCTGAATCCGTCCCTGAATGTCAAGAAAATCATATGAGATCATTATATGTAGGAACAAATCAGATCAAATATATATTGCATTATATATCGCATATCACATTATAATTTATAATTGGTTTAAAAAAAAATTCCATACAACAAAACACAATTTAGGAACAAATCTGATTTAATTTTGGAAGAAGTTTTTTTGTTGACCGATTTGTTTGTCATCACGCCTAAATAATTTAAAGTTTAAAAAATCTGATTTAATTTTTGAATTAGTTTTTTTGACCGATCTTATCATCACGCATCAAAAAAAGGTTTTCCATACAATAAAACACTTCAATTTAAAACCAAATATGATTTTAATTGAAAAATGTTTAAAAAATATGATTTAATTTTAAAATATTTTTTTTACCGATCTTATCTCCACGCATTAAAAAAGGTTTTCTATACAACAAAACACTTCAATTTATGAAAAAATATGATTTATTTTGGAAGAAGTTTGTCTTGTTGAACGATCTTATCATGCGAAATAAATAATAAGTAATTAAAAAAATATATTGATGGAAATAGAAGGAATTAAAAAAATATACTTAATATATAAGTATAGATTTAGTCGAGGTTTTGTATCCGTTAGATTGTAACAGAACGGTGGCATCTCTCACAACTATTATTATTTACCATTTAATTTGTAAATGATAAAAAACTTGGCAAAAAGACAGAAACGACCATCCCGCATACTGAACAAAAAAAATCGTCCCACCATCGGCTTCTCTCTCGGGAACACACCATCTCCATCGCTGACCACTTCCGTGAAATTGTGATTGAAATTTACATCCCGCCAACTGGTCTGAAGCTCGGCCCGCCGCCTCCATGAATCTCGGCCGTCGCCTCCGTGAAGCTCGGTCCGCCGTCTCCATCAAACCCCTTGTTCGGCTCGTCAAGCACCAAATGGCGGGCTCAAAATCTAAATCCCCATCCAGCAAACCATCTTCCTCTACCTCGAAGCCAACAAATAAGGTTAGTGTTGTAGAATTCGAATTTTAGGGCCTTTTTTGTTTCAAAATTTTGATTGTGTTGTAGAATTTGAATTTTTTTTCTGATGTTTGGTGATTTCATTTTGAGTTGCGAAATTGAGAGTGACCATGAAATTTTTCTATATTCTTGTTGTTTTATGTTAATCACCTATAATGCATGTGGTTAAGTCGCTGAAATAACTCCCAAAACTATACAAGCAAAATGATTAGTCGAGAGGTTTAATTTCGAGAATATAGTAATGCAGTAGCTTAAATTTGCTATTCTGTTTGAATATTCCAGGATAGCATTTTTAATACAATTACAAATTTACAAGTGATCTACTCTTAGAGGATCGATAATGTTGGAATTTTGGAGGAAAATAAGTGGCCCGTTGGTTAGATTAGTTGTTGAGTTTCCTGAACTATAGAATCATAGGATGCTTCTGTTCTGTTTGCACCTCTTATTTATGTTACTTACGCAATTTTTTATTTAAAGATTTGTATATGGGGAATGTGCAGGTCATGTTCATTTGCAATCATTGCCCGTTCGTGAAGCATTTGAAGAAAGATATTGTAAAGCTTTCAAACTTCTACATGAAGGTGAGTTATCATCAATTTCATTTTATGTTATTTGTATTTCTTGTTAATAAAATCTTTACCTATGTATTAGTTTGTTTAAACGAGTGTCTCCATGAATAAAATATCTCTTTTTATGTTCATCTTTATGTGGCAGAAAGGGCTAGCAGTGATTGCAAATTCCTCAAACTCTGTATCTACTTATCCACAGGTTCGGATAACCTTAGACATTGAAATTTGAGCTGCATTTGTTTCCATTAATAATTTGTCATGAAAAGAGCAATTCCTCACAGGATGGACCAAAATTCATGGCTGAGGATACTAAGTTATTTAACTACCCTTTCCTGTATCTCTATGATGAGGTAAGCATTCATCGAACTTGACTTATGCTTCTCAAAATTGAAATTACAATGTCATGCATATTATCCAATATATCATCTCCCTTGCCATTCTGTTATTGCATCGTCAAAGAATTTATAACATACATGATTATTCATGTACTGTTTATATTGATGTGCTTGGTTATGAAAAATGTTTAATGCTAGTTATCACCTACTTCTGATTGAATTTCATGTTTATTTTCCGCAGTCCCAAGATGTGGCGAGAAACTTTGGAGTTGTGTGCACGCCTGAGTTTTGCATCATTCCTCCACTTCTCTGCCCAACCAATTAAAATGGCTGTCCTTTATGTTTGGTTAATCTGAAACTGGGACAAGAAACTTGACCACTTGGAAAAATGATTTGGCATCTACATTACAGCATTACTGGTTCGAGATTACTGCTGAAACTTGCTGGAAGGAAGTCTCTCCAGGAGGGAGACGCAACAACTAGCAAGAACTACTGCTGACGTTTTTTTATCATTGTTCCCTTCTTGGAATTTATGTGGCCTGTGTTCCTGAAGCTCTTTCCGAACATGCTGCCATCAACCTTCCAGGTTGGGTTCTAACTTCTAAGGGGGTAATTATCTTGAGTAATGCTGTTTATCCGTGTAGTGGGATATTCACTGTGTTTAGTTGCCTATCTTACTGGATATTCCACTGAATTCTTGTTATGCACTCTTACTTATATTGGTATTTCGTATCTATTCCCTGATTTCTGTTTCATTTGAATGTATTCTGCAGTTTGTGAGCAGGGAGCATAAAGAATTCTTGAGACTTGTCAATAAAGACGCAACTATTCATCATTCACCTTAGAATTATCTTGTGCATTAATGTGAATAGGCTGAGTAAGGATGAGTAATTAACTCTGTAGAATACTTTTGTGAAACTCTCGACCAATACAATTCTCTCGGATAGTTTGTCACTTGTTGACTTAAAAATGGATGGCATATCTTTCTTGATCGTTTCAGTTAGCATGAAGATTAACTCTGGTTTTTGTGTTGAATGTTGATCATTACTTGACTAAATTCCTTTTGGGGAAAATATGATGAGATAGGAGAAACTTTAGCGTAGCTAGTTTGGGTCACTAACTGTTTCGTGTTTCAGGAATAATCAGTGCAGAGCAGGTGATATGCCTGTCCGCCATTGCTGTATTTTGTGTGATTTTAGTTATGAAAAATGACTTCAAACCTTTGCTTTCTTCACAAACCAGTCCACCATTGACTCTTAATCCATCATATTGTTTGTATCATAAAATGTTCAGACACATGCTTGGTCAGCAAGATCTCATTATTCTATCATGTCCTTCCAATTTTGTGATTTTTCTCAATCCAGTTTGATGCTATGCTTCAAAAATTGGTGACATAGTCTTTGACAGGTAGATCTTCCGGCCAAATCCCACCAACTTTAAGGAAAAAAAACATGCCAAGTTGCTACAAGAAAAATAACATATTCATCAAAAAAATATTCTTCATTGATATATTGATACTCAGAGAATCAGGGACTGTCCGGGAGGTCGATCCAATAGTTAGTCGATCCACGTCGCTTTGCATCGGGACAAAGCAGGAGCGGAGTTGTGCTCCTATCACCCAAATCATACACATAAACGAGCCGGCCC